GCCTGTTAATTTCTATCCGTCTCGTTGAGCCGCGAGGTAATGGAAACTATAATTCCCGACCTGTTTCGACGATCACGTACGATGCCGCCGTGACGACATTAGAATCTGGTAAAAGAGCAACCTGATGTACCGCGTGTTGACCTAAATCTCTGAAATACAATTCGCTTCTCGCGAATAGCCATCAACCTTTCAACGGAGTTGTCGAATTTTGAAAGAATTCAACCCTTAAGTTCGACGCGAGGTGTTGACGTACGTGACATGACTAACATAAGTAAAGCTTTTATAAGAGATTTAGACAGTGTTATTGATTACGAAGAAGTTGTTATCGAATAAATACGTCACGTATTAATATAGAAAGATTAAAATAAATAAAGTATAAAATAAATAAGATATTGATAATAAAAATTAACAATAATACCATTTTCCAATCTTCAATCTTTTATATATACAAGCACACATGCACTCACACACATGCTCTAATATTCGATATAACGAATGGAGCAATATATAGCATTAACGGTAATAATAATTTATAAAACTTTCTGTGTTAAATTAAAATATATTCCAAAAATAATAAAATAAAGATGATATTAAAGAAAAAATTATTTCTTCCTTAATTACTCGCGTAACACTTGCCGAAGACAAAAATAAGCAGACGTTATTAAATATAAGAGCGAAATAGCGAAAGACATTAAATCAGACATCTCCAAGTACTGCCATCTGAATTCATGATGAAGAACCGTGATGAAACGTAAGAAACTCTTCTTGTGCGATAAAGATGAATAACGTTTTGCCATGCATGTTTCAACAAAAATTCATTACTTTTGTATAGCAGAAGAAAAATAAAGATCAGACTTTTTAGGATCTATAGATTCAACTCAGGTGCTCCAAAATAGTTATTAAATAATTTCCGGTAAAATTTTGTTAGAAAAATATTAATGAAATGCGGAATAAAATTGATGTTTTAAGTATAAGTGTTCGTGATCTTATTTAGATAGTAAATGAAGGAAGAAGAACGCACTAGAAACATTGAAGGTTTATTCGTTTCGGGTCACGTTATTTTGGAGACGAATGTCGCCCGCCTTACATCGAGTCACGTTCCGCACGTTCTCGAAACCGGCAGGATCGAAAATCGGTTCGCGATAGGCATTTCGGGGCCGTATGATATCGTCGACAAAAGCGATTTGAATTCCTTTACGCCTTTACGGATTTTATTCGCACGAGCGACGACACGCGCTTATCCCTATTTCTCCAGTTTTCATCTCGCGAGGAAGCAATCTTGGCAGTCACGTCGCCCGTTATTCGATCTCGACCAAACGAAGTCGAGGCACGGAGTGCCTCGAACCTTTGTCGATCGACTTGGCTTGAACTAGCGGCCGGGACTGCCGAAATTGGACCACTCGCGAGCCATTATTGGCACGTCGAACAGGGGTAGTTCGAAGGTATCGAATCAATTGCGGCGTAGCAACTAGTGAAAGCTGAAGTTTATTCGCTGCCATTATCGTAAATTAATTCATCATTAATTTCTGTATATTTAATTGAGCTAACGTAAGAGAATCTCGGCACCGACTCACGCAACAAATAATGTATATATTTAACTATTTTTTATTAATTACACTCTCCTGTTCTTTAAAAAAAACATCGAGAAAATGTCTCTTAAGCTTGTTAGAAACAAAACGGAACGTACATCAAGCCATACATAAAATACATAATGAAAACGGAGATTTTAGTAAATAAAAATCTTAAAATAATTTTTCTTTGTCGCAAAAATTGATTTTGGAAATTTCAAATTTAATAATGGGAAATGAATTAATTATTCTCTCTGTCTCTTATTCTGCTTATTTTTATTCTTTTATAAGTAATTCTCTTCTTCCCATTTGTATTATGAATTTTCGATCATTTTATTTATAATAAATTCTAATTTTTTTAATTTCTTTTATATTTATTGTTTACTTTATCACAGCATTGGTGCGACGCAAACAATGTGTCGCGCGAATTAGAACAGAAAAGATCGCTGTCGTATAGTATGATGGAAGTATGATGTAATATTTATGTAACACGGTGAACAAAAAGAAATGAGTCACGCGTTTCCTACCACCTACGAAAGATCGGTATAGCATAATATCATAAACGCGGAGCGAGGTGAAAATAATCGTGATTCGCTTCACGCGGCGCAACTTACATTTCGTGCGATGTATTTTTGCGAGAGAAAAATTCAAAATTAGTTAAGATTAACAAATAAATTGTAATAGGAATTGTCAAAAACTCGAGAGCAAAATTGTCTGTGCGGCAAATCGAATTCGCGTGTCTCGTCTAAAAGAAATTCGCCAAAAGTTTCTGTATTTCCGTTGACAATTCATGCACTCGCCGCGAAAGAGTTAAATTACACCTTTTTCCAGAAAACTTTCGTCGCGGTTTTGTCTCTCCCGTCTCGATCCTCCGAGAGGTTTACTTTGCGAGAAAGTTCGTTCGCACAAAGCGTATTTGAGCAAAAGGCAGGCGAGCGGTCTTGAAAGCAAAAATGTTGTAATCATGAGATGGTCCCGTCCTTTCAACTTTTGCATTAGCAAAAATTTATTCTCCTCTTTGACACGCAAGAAACGAACAAGCGGGTTTCATTGGGCACAGCTATTAATTTGCCTATTTGACGACCGAAAGATTAACAAGCTCCAAGACTATTCTAAATCTAATTCCACATTCAAATTGTCGATTATCATCTTAAATGTCTTTCATTTTACGGTCTGACACTGCGTTAATCTACCTTTGTGTTAATTCGAAAGCGAAATAAGCTCGACAGGAGGTTTTCTCCTTGCCGATCGCAGTGGAAACACGAAGCTAAACGTTACCGAATCGTCGCATAATGCGGAAAGTGTCATGGCGAACGGTTGCAGCACGGATGCCGTGCGATAACGGAACTCGCGCGTTATCCTCGAAAAGGTCCCTAAGCTGGCGCGGTACGGAACCGTTAATTAAAGGGAATAGAATTAATGTGCTCCTGTGTAGCTATACGGTGGTCCCGGAGACTCCGTTTAGGCAGAATCGAGACGCCGCACCATCTGCAGATCTCGCGGTTAGAGAGACCCTCTTCCCCCTCAAGTGTGCACGAATATATACGTTGCCCCGTAGCTCGTGACCTTATTTCTAATGATGAATACCCGGGCTTTAAAGACCGCAACGAGGAATTAAATGCAGGATGGAGGGGTTAATCTTCGATCCGTCAGAGACGTCTTATATAGCCTACGTCGTTCATTATAATATCGATTGAAACGCAGAAATGACTTTATCAGGCGATCAGACGTTACGCTCCTTAACGCGCCTGGGTGGTACCCACGACCGGGAGACAAAAGCAATAATATTACTGCCCTCGATATTGGCCCCCAAGAGCAACGGCTAAGTATATTACGAACGGGGAATTAGAATTAGAAGCTACTCGATGACTTCGCCGCTTACTCATCTACTGAATATTGAAACGCCATTATCATAAGCGATCAGACGCATTCGATAATGACTCGCTCGTAGGAGTACGAGCTACGCCACTCCGGCCTGTAGGTCGGACAAAATCGATTACGGTCCTGGACACCGGTAAATATAGGTATACATGCTGATCACGCTACTCGACGAAATTTAGCTTTCCATTTTTGCGGAGATGGTAAAAACAAGCGGTACATATTTAAACGTTAAGTGAAAAGTCACAGATGCAGATGTATGGCGTACTGCTAGAGATAAATATCGCTTAGGAAAAAACCAGAGTGTATGCAGTTTCGCGAGGCAAATCGTGTAGCTAAATAAACTGAAACAGAACAACATGCCATTCACAATATGCTGATTCGAAACTTTATCTTACGCAAATGATTTCCTTAATACAACAGTTCTATTAATGATCGCTGCATCGCAGCACAATTAATGGAGGATATTGGAATTTCGTGCATCACAGGCTTACGTAATATCATTTTCTTCCCCCTATCATGACTATTTTTTGTCGACACAGCACGGATCGCAATATACCTGATGCACTGTGTGCACTCATCAAACCGCAATCAACGTAAAAAGGATTTACATACGAGATTGTACCATGAAATTGCCGATACTCAACTAATTGACAATTGATTGCGATTAGTAAAGTATATTTGATAGAAAGTATATTTTCGGTTGTGCCATTAACAATTTATAAAGGTTTTGCGCTTTCCAATCTTCTTCGATAAGGATTGTTTGTTATTGTTAATTTTTTCCACAAGAGAAAATACCGAAAATAGCATGGTTTCCACGAAAGAGTTGCGAATATTTTTCTATATAAATTGGAACTGGGATACAGTGCAGATAGAAACATTATATCGGCCTTTGGAAAGCTCTGTTAGCGAAAGGATTCTTCGATGGTTCGAAGAATTTCGTTTTGAGGATTTGAGCTTGGAAAATAAATCTCAAGGAAGATCCAAATCAACTTTAAACGAAGATTCAGTCTATAAACATACAATTTCTTTTAAATAGTTACATAATTTCAAATTACGTTAGAAGAAAACCTAATGCTAATTATGCATGTCTTGGTTAATAACATTTTTTTTAATGCAAAATTTTGTTTTGATCTACAAAATTGGTAATTTTATATGATACAATCTAGTATATTATTCCACACAATACCGTCTACCAACGATTGCAATCTTTCCTTCATACACTCTATGAAATACCTGTTAAGACTTCAATTTATCAAGCATGACCAACTAGTCTATCATCTCTGGATGATCCATCATGTCGATAAATCACTTCATGAAGAAACTTTATTACATCTTTGAAGCTCTTCCAAGGACACCATCCGGCGGAGGGACCACGCGATCCGACCTGTCGTCATTTCTAGCAGGACGCGCCACGTTCACCTGACACTTCCTCCCTCCAACGTTCCCTCTCGGGTTCATGAACCCTTCTCGTTTACTCACCGTCGCCTTCTTACTCTCTTCACTCTTCCAGCTGGGAGGGAGAAGGACGGAGAGGGAGTCGCAGGATGAATCAGAGAGGGACGGTGGAACTGTCAGTGCTGCATTGGTCCTCCTCGCGTAAAGACGGGCCACGGATCATCTGTGATTACCTTCCTGCCGGAGTCCTTTCCCGCAGACAACGGTGAGTGCACTCTCTCCGTCTCTCGCTCTCTCTCTTTCTGTCATGCCACACCGGCGCGGCGTCGTCGTTGCTCGTATATTTTGTTCCCTCGCGCTATCGAGTTCAGCGCTAAGTAGATTCTGCCTTATCGTGCCGTCTCAATAATGCAACAGACGCATACAAGCATGAACCGTAGGACGAAAGACGAAACACGCTATGCGAGTTACATTTTGGCGAATGTCAAAAGGATTTTCAAAACAATTCAATCCAATTCAATCCAATCTGTGTGACGCTCTTGTGTACATTTATTCCATAAAATCACCAAATGTTCTCTGTGCTAAGGAACGTTCTTTGAAATCGATTTCTTTTGAACAAAAATATCGAGGCGTCTGGAAAGATATTTTTGATATTTTCAGATTTGCTCAATTAATCGTCCATACTGCGAACGACATTGACATTTCTTTGAGAAATATTAATCAAATTTTGCATGCCACTCCAATGCCCATTAATTTATCGCGGAATACTGCGCTAGAAGTTAGTCGTGAGAGGCGTTCTAACTCTCTAGCCGTTTTTCATAAAATATAATAACGATTTTCAGCGTGGTTAACGCGTAACTAATGATAAAGCCATTATCTCATTCATTCTTTTCCTAAAATTGTAATTGATGAGACGACGTGAAAGCATCATTAAATTATTAAAATTAATTTGAGCAAATATTTATCATGGACGCAATAAAGCACAATGGAGCGCCGTCACTTTTGATAGTTTGCCCTTTAATGATCGTAAGAACAATATACGTGAATATGCATTGTTATAAGTTCACCCCCCATCGCAATTGAGATAAAAAAATACTTTGACTTTTAAGATGTAAATAAATTAAAAATTTAGACTGTAATTGAAATGTGTTTATATCACGTTTGTTATAAAATGTCTTCCATGACAATAGAAAGTCCAATTGACGTTACAGTCTTTCGCAGAGAAACAATGTTTTGTAAAACAGCGTTTTACAAAACTGAGATTCCCTCTCGACGTTACAATTTATTTCAATGAATGAGATCGCGCAACATGTCGCACGCTTAAATTCCGCTATAATTGCGCAATCTAGAAGCTGTTCGTGGATAAGCGACGCAAATAATTCTCAAGCTCTGCTTTACGCCAATCTCACCATGTTAGACCCGCGGCGTAATTACTGACGATTACTCGGAGAGAGAAAGAAATTCGCGTCTGCCGTGCGTCTGGGGGCTTTGCCGAGCCGAGATGAAAGATAATAGGAATGTGAGAGAGGAATGGCCAGACGCGCGTTCTTAAGATCCAGCCACCTAATTGCACCGTTACGCACAGCCCGTTAAATCATCGCGAAAGCACCGCTTCTCCCCTGTATCGTCCGAATCTCAAAGACGCTATTAAAAGCCGCTATGGCATTAATTGCGGAGTAATTAACTCCGGAGAGCTATATCGAATATTGTTTTGTACCATACAATGCCAATTTGGCGTTTAATCAATGCAGAATTGTAATCTAGCGCAATTTAATTATAATTACGAATTTAACTAAATGAATTGTATGGTAATGAAGCTATAACGCATATTTTCATTGAAGCTCCGTCCCAAGTTTTATATTGCCGTATAGAAATTTCTGTATGGACGGCAGACTGTTTATACGTATTTCAGCAAAAAAAAAGAAATCCTCACGTTGCGAGATATGCCTCGTGCAAATTTACAGAAAGCGAAATTAAGATCCGGCTGACAAACTCGTGCGAATAATCGGATCCAACGGAGGAGCTTGCCCATCGTGCTTGCTGGGCAATCGGCGCGAATTGCAACGCTCTGTGTTGTTATTCCGACATGACGTATCAAATGCATTCAGCTGCACGAATGCCCGGCGTCTTTTCTCCCTCGTCTTCGAATTGGGCACGTGCTGGCCATGTGCGAGTACGAACCTAATTGTGCGCGCGTGTACGCGACCCGCGCTTGCCAGCCGTTTGTGCATGCACGCGCGAGTAATAACGTCGAAAATTCCGATGTCGTGGTTCGCGCGTTATTAAGTTGCTGCAGAGATTCTTATCTACCACCACTTGAAAGTGATATCTAATTGCCCGAAGAATAAAGCGTTTCTTGCTTCTTTTCATGACGCCACTTAGTCGCCGCAACTCTATATACGCAGCATAATATTATTTCATTTTTTGTTTGCCCTCGCCTAGTTCCATTGTCTCGGACGATTTATCGGCACGGTTACACATTCGCGTTTTGCGAACTTTATCGTAAATGACCGCACGCGCGTGCAGTTTAATTATAGAAATGGAGCTGTGTACTTGCTGGTGACCATACGTATGGGAGTAGCCTATGGTAATCGTGGCGAAGAGTACGTTTTTAGTAAAACTATAAATAATCCACGCAATAAGAGCATGCGAAAGTCGAATACCTGGGTCACCGGACGTTTTCGTTCGCTTCGTGCATATACGCCGTCGAACTCGACAGATTCGCGTATTGCAAAGTTTGCAAGTCAAACCTAATCGAACGAATCTACCTCAATACCACAGCTTTGACGTAACGAAATTAATTATTTAACCATCATGAACATCGCTTACGTGTACACCGACAATAAGGATCGGACAATTTGCGGTAAAAACGAGAAATATTAGAAGCGAGTAATAGATAAAAATTCTGGTTGTTAATTAATGTCGTGTTGATTATCTTGTGTTGATTAACGTAGATGCGATCTCTTCGAATACCGTGTCGTAATTGTATATCTCTGCTTCGGTTACGATGATTTTAAAAGAGCTAATTAAGTGCTTAATGCGACAATGAGGAATTACTTCTAGCACTACAATGTGCTAACGCGAAACATGTGCCTTCACGCTCGGAGAAAATCGCAAATAAGTCGCGAGCCGCTATGTCTCTCGGTTCTTAACCATAAAAGTCTCGCGATTACGTCAGGGTTCGTGAGTCACAATGTCTGCTGGCCTAAAAACGCTGTTACCACAGCGAGCCATCACGTGTCAATAATTTCTTGAAGAGCGTCTCGTCAAGGACGGCAGTCGCGGTCGAATTTTAATGAATTTACATTGCGGATGCACCGACGAGAAAAGAAAGACAGGCGTTATCGTTGGCTCCTACTTTTATGCGGAAAGAGATTTATGTAGCGATCGGAAATATGTCTCTCTATTCTAACGCCGCAACTGTACGTTAAAGGATCACGGATGAGAAGAGTATAAAAACGATCGAACGCGATAACGTGATATCAAACGCGCCCACGCTGCTGCTGATGCACCCACACTCACTCTCGATCTTTACAGAGGGATGAATCGCTCGAAAAGAGCAACAAAATGATCGATTTCACCGCTCCATCCAGAGCTCGAATTCGTTTTGGCTTTACAATTAACTTTTGCTAGCACCGCGCGAATTGCGCTACGATAATGCGGCAGGTGGAAGCAAAAAGTGAAAGCCAATTATAAACCTTTGATATATCCTCGCTCGGAAATCGCGTGCACTCATGGTAGCTTGACGTTTCTCTTTGCGCGACTTTGAAAGATCGACAGCTTAAAGAGAACTTTACATTTTTATTTGTCTAAAATATCACCTATTATTAAGTGTATTAATTTTCATTATTTAATAATTATATAAAAATTAAATTTAAAATTTGTATCATATAATAATTTAATACTAATCTACAAAATACTGATATGTTAATTTAATTAACACTTCATGATAGAGATACTCAATTTTATATCGAAATGTGCGACATGTTACAGACCTGTAAGTAATGAATTTCTAAACGCAGAGCAAGCAATATTTATTTGGTCATTACGATGCATTCACTTATGGGGCCACTTATGCTTTGTAGCTAATATAACCAGCATGCAACTCTATTTTAAGTATAATTATTTGGAACTCGAGGAACTGCATCGTTTTCCACGCACACACGCCGAACCGATTCTATTTTCACCCGCGATATTACCACTCTACCAGTAAGCGAATTACAGATACGCAATATTTGTCTAAGTGTTTATGACGCCAACGCTACTACCTTTATCGGAATATTCCGCAAACGTATCTCAAGTTAACGAACTGGAAAAGCAGTTCGTAATCCCATGAAAAATATGCGAAATTGATAGAATTTGTTAATTTCAATTTAACGTTATATTTAAATTTTAAATTACCCAAATAGTACGTATCTGTTTTTTCCTTAAAAAAGTCCGTCCCACCCGTTGCATGTAAACTTGGCGCGAGACACGTGTCTCTTGATAACTCTACATTTGCATTGCCCTTCTTTTTTTTATTCGTCTCTAAACACCTATATTTAAGTGTAAAAGCACTTTGCATGTTAAAAAATAAAAATGTCTTATCTTTAAGTCATATTCTAGCGTCAACAACATTAAATTGATAATCTCTAAACATTAACTACTTTGCTTTTTTTTATTGTAACACGTTTTATAATATAAGTTAAATTTAAAAATTTAATAAAGATTTATCAGGCTTGACGTATCGATACTGTCTTCTCAAGGAAAAATGTTACAAATTATTTTGTTAAAATTCAAATAAAAGAATTCAGACCGCCGCGGCGCCGGTGATATGTTAAATATTATACATGTGTTAAAATTCATATCGATCAATCAATGTCCATTCCTGGTTTCAGAAATGACGAAACTTTTATTGTTTTTACAGAACGAGAGCATCGCGAGCAATAGACAGCTGAAATATGGCAGCACCACAGGCGTCGTCGCGTCTCGAGATGCTGCAGGTAAAATAATCGATTTTGTCAACTTTAAAAATGGCAGCATTAAAAAAGATAAGTTTCCATCGACAGACAAATTAATAGGTTCATTTAAGAACAAATGTATCGTTTAACAACAGTGGCGTCTTTCAAATGTCGCTTGTATATAATTGTATATAATTGTTGCTATATAAAATTATAGTAATAAAATATGAAATAGTGTGAATAAAGAAGTAATGATTTGATCAACTGAGATCTCGTTTCATTATAAATTTTTTTAATTGCAATAATTTTCAATAAGGGCAAAATTGATGGGATCTTAAATAAAGTTTGGATTGCCGATTAAATTGTCAGGCAAGTACTTCCTTATTTTTTTATAAATAATATACATTTGTCAATGTCTAAAAGTTTGATGCTAATGAAGAATTGCTATAATGATATACTCTAATAATTACTATTAAATGCATTATTAATCATTTCTTTCGCCGACATGGATATGGGAGCTTATAAAAGTTTATTCTCAACTGTGACGCTTCATTACGTCAGATGTTAATCATAATGTTCGTAAAATAAATCGCGTGCATCGTGCATCTGCAAAAATGTTATATAAAGTAGAAACGCATTCTTGATTAGAATCTTTTTTGCGCGAACGTAACAAACTGTACGTCGACTGTTGCGTCGCTGCAATTATATCTTTCTCTTTCTCCCTTCCTCTTTTCGTCACTTGTACTTAATATCGAAATACATTCTGGTTAAGGTAGACCGGTTAAGGCAGTTTTGACGCTGTTCTTTTGGCCCACGTATCATTTCTGTATCGAACGAGCGCATATATGGCATCTTGATCGTAACGCGCGCGCAACGATCGACCCACGTATCGATATATCCAAATCCGATGGACAGCTGATATTTAGATGAATATCAAGCGCAGATCTCTCTTCCGCCTACTTTTCTACTATATGTGTTTCCTAGTATCTTGACATAAAAATTGATAAATTCAGTACTTACGTAAAAATTATAGAAGAGGCTCTAAATTAGTCTAAATAATAATTAATCCATTATCGTGTGTTTACTTTGAACACTTCTTATAAAATAAACAAACGATTAATACAACGCAAAAATAAACTTATAAGCGAAATCTAATAACATAAATATTCATGCGAATACTTTCTTTTTATATTTATTTCTACATACTCAATTTACTCTCGAAATCGTATCCACGTTTTAGAAACGCCCTGCATATGAACTTTAATAGCTGACTTTAATCTCTTATACGACACACCTCTAAGGGCATTCCCCGGCAAAAGATAGGCCTATGTTAAAACGAAAGAAGAATGGTGAGACTTGAAGGGAGTAAAAAAGTGAACGCTTGGTTTGTCAACCATGACCGACTATTGAGGGACTCGTGACCATAATACTGTGACGTCACTTCCTTCGCATTGAGATGCGTCATGCGACAGACTTCTCAGACGCATTATCTTCACTAAACTATGTACATATGTCTTAAAAAAAGAATCTTCACAGCTGTTCAGAAACGGATGGTAATCTGTCCTCATATATATGATTCTAATTTTGCAATTGTTTTTTGCACTACTACGATACATGTTATTTATGTATAGCACTCCCTGCGGATTCTATCGATTTCTATCGATAGGTAGTCCGAAATAGACTTCAAATCATTCAATTATTACACAATTGCCAAGTTAAACATAGTATTTTTCCACAGATTCTGTCGCGGTTTATAGGTAACCTAAAATGAATTTTAAGTTGTCTAAGTGCAGGTCCAAGTATAAGTTTGCACATGTGTGTATAATTCAATAATTCTTTCTAGAAAACGACCTCTGAAAATAACTTTCAAAGAATACAATTTTCGAAGCGATAATCTACTTCAGTTCTCACAGTTCTCAATAATTCTTCCTGCTCACATTCACTATTTTTATGCACGCCCTGGTTATGATAATACTCTTGACGAAACTGTTCAGTGCATTTGCATATTGCATATTATTTGACTTGAAGATGAGAAATCAAGTGGAAGTCCATATACACATTAAATAATTTTATATTAGCCAGCTTCATCTTTTTTATTTTGGCGCGTCATGATTTTTATGCAACGAATTGTTTCTGTGTATCCGTTTTGCGCAGGCATGTAAAATGAAGATCAATCTTTCATACAAATCTTCTTGACGCTAAGGTATCAAAAGATCGCGGGCAGTTTCATCTTTTAATGAAAAGGTTATTAAGCAAATCACGCGATGTATTTTACTGATACACCAAATTCACGAATATCATCACTACTCGATCACAAATTTTGCAAATTAATTTATTATGGATCATTAAAATTAACTACTTTACATAAAAATATTACTAATTATAGTATCAGATTCTTAAAAATATTTATACCATACTAAAACAAAGATACTGCGCGAAAATCAACGATCTCGCGTCGAAGAAAAAGATTAATTTTCTAATGATTAAAACTAATTCATTAAATCGAACGATAAAATTTAGAACAAATTTTACGCGATTAAAGTTGTTGCGTACTTCGTGGAAGTTGCCGCGTTGTTCTGAATTTCGTATAAGGCATGAGAGGAAGTGGATACGTGCAATTTCCAAAAAAAATGAAAAACATTAATGCAAACAGAGCTATAATGCGGAATGTATTATACGTAATGTGCGATTCGTCTTTAGGTAACTCTTGATATTAACGCGCAAAAACGATCAAAGTGTCGAGTGAATGACGCAGATATTTCGCGGTGCCCACGCTTGGCCTTCCTGCATCGAAGAAGTAAAAAAAAAAACGAACGGACATGAATACATTACGTCATTATCGCTTCGAGTATCCAACTCGGTCGTGATTATACACGATTATATTATCCGTTCGCTAATACTTCCTATAAATACCTTTTACAATTGCTGGTATTATTTTATATCATTTGGTACCGTCACAATAGACTGTGTCTGAGGAGAAAATTGGAATTCATTGGAATTATTAAACTGCAAAGTTATCTGAGAACTTCTAATTCTAAACTAAACGATTCAGACCATCGTTGAAAATAGTTTTTAGAAAACTATTTCATTCTTCGGGCTAATTAGACCGCGTAGTAATTGATGTGCTAACCCATTTTTAGATATCGTAGGAAGATGATGTACATCTGTAACGTGTTCCAGAATTTTATCGGACCGTAATCTTTTTACAAATTCCTCCTGGTTAAAAAATTACGAAAGGAAAATGCATAATCGTTGCAGCTAGCGTGAGAGAGTTAAACGTAGGAAAAAAAATCTTTATCAAAATCTTCAAACGCATAATTCTAATTTCTAATCGCATGTGACAGACATGCGTTTCACGTGCAAGCGTGTACGCAGCTCGGCACGCACCGACACGCAGGAAAGAGGTGCGTGTTGCACGGAAAGCGAACCTTGCTCGGATAAATCTGAAATGTGGATTCGGAGCAAGGAGGACCGCCGCGCCGCGAGCGGCAAACGGGTTAGCTCATAAATAATTGATGACGAGGTGCGATGCAGCTTCGTTCGCCACCGATTTGTAATTGTAATTTCGCGAGGTGCATGCCCAGTTAAGCAAAGTAATTATGGGCAGGTTTCGTTATCGGGACATGTGCACGATCTGTGGAAGACAACGAGATGCGCCGTAATCTCGATGTTGCCTCTCGTCTTTTTCTTTTTTCGTTGTTCCATCTCGCTGGTTAACATTTAACTTTCGTTGCCGCAAACAGCGCATTTCTAAAGCAGAGATCGGAACCGACGCGCACAGCACTTACAATTAGACATAGGAACTAGATCCGTGTTTCGATACTGCAAGCCCGCAAAAGTATCTCTCTATCTTTCGACGAAATCGCAATCGATTGGGATGCACTTTTCATGTTTATAACGGGAAATTAATTCCAAACTTATACCAGCATTGAATACCCTTTCGAGGAAGTGCCTCGCCGATACAATATATGAAGATGTATAAAAAGTTCCGCATGCGGTTGCACGCGAAAATTCGATTCGTCTTCGACGAAATGCAAAGTTCAAGGTTCCTCGAGAGCATCGTCGGTCGTGCGAAATGATTGGTTCTCGGTCTGCCGAGCGCCGTAATCGCGAGTATAGTACCTGCGCCCAGCATTTCCACGGTCCTCTCCGTGTCCCCCTTCCTCTAACAAACAATAAATCTTGTATTTTCGTAACCTCGTTTTCAAACGCGCCGTTCGGAAGCGGGCGACTCGCGGACAATCGATATTTCGGGAAAGGAAGGAGGGGTCATCGGAGGTATACACATACAAACGTATAAATAAATAATTCTCAAATGACTGTAGTCTCGTACGTCAAACGGCAATCGGATGGAAACCACTTGGCCGTATTCTGTCACTCGTTGACAATACATTTATGACGTAATAGGAAAAGGGATTTGGAAGCGACAAAAAATTCGATTATTGAGTTATTTTAATTGCAAAGTTCAGTCAAGAGAAATTGGACATAATTTCATTTATAATTATTTAAATTAAAACTAAAAACTTATACTTGGACTCTTGGCAATTTAGATTTTTTAAATAAATTACAATGAAAGAAAATGTTGCTATGTGTGACAACATATGAAGCACTTAAAAAAATATTATGCATATCGTATGAAGATTAATATTGTTAAGCCTAGTGTCCACGATGCTAGAAATCGCTCCGAGATCTCGGACGGGGAAAGAATTAACCAATGGCATTGGTCAATTGGTCGAATTGTTTAAATGTGATTGGTCAATTCTTTCTCCGTCCGAGATCTCGAAGCGATTTTCTAGCATCGTGGACACAAGGCTTTACGAAGATAAGATAAGCATTTCTTTCATTGGAATGAAATGGTTATCTCGATCTAAATTCGTTTGCAGCCGACATTGTTGAGAAATGACTCACCATTTATCTTCTCACAGAAGAATTATGTTTTCATTGTACATTGTTTTGCAAGCTACGCGTATTGATACTTTTAAAAGGAAAGCGTGCTTTTCTCGCGTGAAGGCAACTAATTTTCGCGACAGCTTGCCAGCAGC